TGTGCTTTTTTTAAATAAAAATAACTAATAAAAAAAATAAAACTGATGAAAACTCCTAGGGTTGTTATTGTTCTACATGTAGCGAAGAATGTATCTATATCAAAACTTTATTTCTTGGTCTTAAGGTCTTAACCCACTAAATAAAAAAAATCTTTAAAAGAACCCTTTTATCCCCCCATATTTAAACATTTCAATTGCATTGGTATCAAATAAGACAAAAAAATACAAAAAGCTTATATTTTTATATTACGTCATTAATTATGCGCATAATTTACTCAATAACAGCATATTTTCTAAAAAGGATTTTTAGAAAAATATGCTGTTTTTGAGTAAATTAAAAAAATTATTTGCAGAGTATTCCAAATCAAGTGAAACTTTTCAAAAACTTAGCTTATTATATGGACTGTGTGCCGAGTCAAAATTAAAGTTGATTCTTAATTTATTGCTCTGAAATTTACAATTTAGTATAAATCCCTAAAAAATGACCCGTTTTACCCAAATTTTAATTTGAATGGGATGCCATAGTATAAATATTTTTGACTCAGCACATTTATCTAACTAAGTTTTATCTCTGTAGAAAATTTCAAAGAAAAATATTGAACAAAACTAAAGATATATTTGTTAGAAGGTAGAAAATCTTTAAATTGAGAAAAACGCATTGAAAAAAAAAAAAATTCAAAAATAAAAAGCTACAAATTTAAATATGGTCTAATTTTAGTATTTTTGACCAATGTCAATTAGCTTATGAATAACTTAAAAGTGTAGATAAGAATTTGGTTAAGGTACAGTTAGAATATGGAGAAAAAGTGTAGATAAGAATTTGGTTAAGGTACAGTTAGAATATGGAGAAAAAGTGTAGATAAGAATTTGGTTAAGGTACAGTTAGAATATGGAGAAAAAGTGTAGATAAGAATTTGGTTAAGGTACAGTTAGAATATGGAGAAAAAGTGTAGATAAGAATTTGGTTAAGGTACAGTTAGAATATGGAGAAAAAGTGTAGATAAGAATTTGGTTAAGGTACAGTTAGAATATGGAGAAAAAGTGCAGATAAGAATTTGGTTAAGGTACAGTTAGAATATGGAGAAAAAGTGCAGATAAGAATTTGGTTAAGGTACAGTTAGAATATGGAGAAAAAGTGTAGATAAGAATTTGGTTAAGGTACAGTTAGAATATGGAGAAAGCTTATTAGTTCTGGAGAAAAAGAGTTCTAACTGTCGCTAAGGCCGTTGCTAAGGAACTTTTGAATTTTTAAAGAACAAAATTAGGGCAAACTTATAACTTTTTTTTCCATTGTTATATACTTTTATTGTTTATAAAGGTTAAAACTTCCAAAAAACAGAAGAAAAAAATTTTTTTTTTGAGACTTTAAATAGTGGGTAGCCATCTTAAGAATACTGAATGATGGTTCAAAGTTAAGTATGCCATCATAGGCTCCTTTCCCCTATGTATGCAGACAATACAAATTTATTGTACAACAATTCTGATTGTAAAAATATTGTTTAAAACAATGAACACTTAACTAGAAAGCTTTAACCAATGGTTTATAGCAAATAAGTTATCATTAAATTGTGAAAAAAATAAGTTTTGCTCTCTTCCATAAAATAAGACAATCAACTAATCTTCTGTTAAAGTTGCTAAAAATGTCAATCAATAAAATGAAATAAATCGAGCAAATTATACAAGGTTTTTGGGAGTAATATTTGATAAGAACCTATCATGGAAAAAACATGTTAGTCTCATTGAAGAAAAAATATCTTCTTCAATAAGTGCATTATGGGTTTTTCTTGATTATAAATCACGCAAAATGCTTTACTTCAGTCTTGTTCATTGTCATATCTGCTACGCTAATATTACTTGGGCTAATATTACACACAAAACTAAATTAATAAAATTACAGAAGTTACAAAACCACGCATGTGAAGCAGTTAACTATTTAAAGAGATTAGAAAACCCTTCCCCAGTAATGTAATGTATGATTGTGTTAAATATATCAAAACTTAATTCGCTTCAAATATTAATATTTAAGTATAAATATAAGAATAACTTGCTGCCAAAAGTATTTTCTGATATTTTTACATCAGCGTTTTTACAAAAATACAATCTTCAGTCAAATACCAACCATAACTATCACCTGAGCAGAGTAAAATCGCAAGTTTAAAAATTCTCAATTATTAGCCAAGGCTCGTCATTATAGAATCAATTAAAAAAATACTAATATAAAAAAATTGAAAAGCACTTTCTATTTTAAACGTCAAATGAAATTGCATCTTTTTAATTTCTGACATATATATAAGTATGTTTGCATATGTATGTGTGTTTATGTGTATATGCATATATGAGTATGTATGCATATATAAGCTTTTATTCTTTACGTAGGTTTTTTCAGAAAAAAGTATTTTATTGTATATTTGCTAAAGCCATGTGGGCTTTAAATGTTATTGTAAAGGGGCTCTATGAAAAGATTGTGGTGACAACAGTCATCCGTATTTTATTTGAGCTCCTATCTGTTTTATATATATTCTTTGTATAACGTAAAAGTTTCCTTGTTTAACTAGGAAGTTCATGCCTCCTTCTTTACTGTGACGCGAAATTATGTCCAGAGTTTGTTTTAAACCTGGATCTTCTGCTTCTAAAGCAAGCGCTCTAACCACTGCATCACAGCCGCATTGTAATTTTATTATTTTATTTTTATATTAACAGCAAAATATATTTAAAAAAAAATGTAGACTGTACTAACATATTAATATCTCTTAATATTAAATTTCAAGACTGGTGGTCTAAAAAATTGATTTTATCAGCACATATTGTTATTAAAAGTGTTAAAAAAAAAAAAAAAGTTCAAAAAAGGTAGTTCACCTTTATAAACCACCTTGCGGGTTTCAATATATCCCAAATATTGGAAAACGTTATATAAATTTGTCCTAATTTTATAAAAGTTTATCAAAACAGACAATTCCATCAAAACAGACGATTCCATCAAAACAGACGATTTCATCAAAACAGATGATTCCATCAAAACAGACGCTTTGATTTTGATTCCATCAAAATCAAAGCCATTGTAGCTAGGGAACAGTTTTCAATTCAAAAAACCAAAGTGTCAAATTCGAAAAAAAATTACTTAAAAAAATAACTTTATAATTTATTTATAGAGAAATTTTTTTTCAAACAAAATATAAAGTTTATACATTGTTTTACTCATGCGATGCCTCTCTTTCATAAAATGAATATTTTAAATACATATCAGCTTAACATTATTAATGTCCTATCAGAGCCAACGATGCGGATTTCAAAGTGGTGGGCAAAATTGGCAATTTCTTAAAAAGTCCATTATTTTATTTCTAAATTTCTAAAAAAAAAATTTTCAAAAAAAAAGTGAGATGGGGCTGTGTCACCGGTATCGGCCATGCCTATGCTCTATGTGTAAATAATAAAAAATGTTCCCACTTCTCAGGGCTGTTCCAAAGAGATCTTAAAGGATGGGGAAGGGGATTGTTATCTGTTTTTTACCAAAGACTAAAAAATAATTTTTTTAACCAAGATCTTAAAAAAAAAAAGATCCTCTTTGGCTAACATTTACCGACTGCCAACTAAATGTTCAAATGTATTGACTACAGGGTCCAACCATTTCGACTATATTTTTAATAAAATGTTCCTCGAGGGATTACACCCAACGCAACATCTCACCTAAAGACGGCACTGCTCCATCTTCCTTTTATAAGTTATACTCACTAAAAGAAAAAGCAAGTACCATTTAATAAAAGAAAATTTTATTCGACTATAATTTTTGCATACTAGTATTGGTAAATTTTGTATTTTATTTCAAGGAGAAAAAAAACTTTTACCTGGTAAAAAAAAAAATTAATTTACATAAAACAACTGGATACAAAATGTGTAACATACAAGAAAAAATAAGATTAAAAAAAAATACAAGAAGAAAATAAAACAAAATTGAAATGTACAAACTACAAAAAACAAAGTATTTATTTATAAATTTATTATTTATTTGTTTCGTCAGTAAAAAAGAATACAATGCCGCATTATATAAATAAAACATGCATGTCTGGGGCTTAAAGAAGACAATATTTACCCTATCAACCATTAAAATATTAGTTTGTACCATTTAAAAATTATATACAAGTAATTACAAGTATGTTAAGATTAGTTCCTAATCTATAATAAAAAAAAAAAAATAGTAAAAATAGTATAATATAATAGGATCCGTGGTTCAAACCCCACCTCTGGGCAAGTTTAGCGACATCGGTTGGGAAGGAGGCGTGAACTTCCTATTAAATGCTCATCCGCGGTGCTCTGTGATAAGACCGTAAGGACTTCTTGGAGCACCTAAAAAATAAAAAATAAAAAATAAAAAAATAAAAAGTATAAAAAATAATCCATCCTAAAAACTACAGATAAGTTAATAGGATAATTTAAAGAATATTTAGAGACAAGTTAATAAGATAGTTGTTGTTAAAAAAAAATAAATAAAAATAATAATAAAAAGAACTTAGAAAGAATTTAATTCATTAACATCGTAAATAAGTTTTTGTTTGAGTTTTAGAATAGAGAAAGAGTTGAACAACTTTTCAGCTCGTTATTTAATAAAAATTTAACACTTAATTAACACTCAGTGGTCCTAAATTATGGAACATATGACATAACTTATGTAACATGCATTTTAGGTTGCTCATAACTGTAGTTTGAAAACATTATATGTTAATAAAGGGGTTTAACTGAAAAATATTGAGTATTAGGGCCGTCCCGGACATACGCTAAGTAATCTAATTCTTATAATTTATTAGAAAAACTTATTTAATTCCTGCAACCACCCCAACGACCATAAACATTTAAATGGAGACTATAAACACTCAAATGGAGATTTCAACGACCATAAATATCCAAAGTCTCCATACTCTTTATCCTTTTTTTTATTGATGTATTAAATGCTAAAATAAAGAACTTAAAATTAAATATAAAAAAATCCGGATTGGCGTTTCTGAAAAAGCATTAGTTTTGTATTTTGAATTCACTACAAGTCCGGATTTTAACTCTTTTTTTTTGATCCGGAAAAAAGCCTGGATTTTAATAAAATCTAAATTCAAGATTGCCGCTGCGAAGCTCGACCTTTTACTGCAGGACGATTCGCAAAGGAGGCCAAAATGGTGATTTGATTATCCGTTTGTTTCTTCTTAATACATAAGTATTTCTTAAAGGTAAACGTTGAAGTTATAAGGACTTGTTTAACAGATAATGATGTGATTTTATTTTTTCAAAAGGATAACGATGCTGCCGATTTAAAAAAGAAACGTACATTTAAAAAATTTACTTACCGTGGAGTTGACCTCGATCAACTATTAGATTTAAGTAATGAGCAACTTACAGGGCTTCTCCATTCTCGTGCTAGGCGTCGATGCGACCGTGGCTTAAAAAGTAAAGCTGCTCGTTTGATTAAAAAGTTAACTAACGCTAAGAAACAAGCTCCCCCACTCGAAAAACCTGCTGTAGTTAAAACTCACATGAGAGATATGCTTGTTTTACCTAGTATGATTGGTAGCATAATTGGAGTTCATAATGGAAAAACTTTTAATCAAGTTGAAATTAAGGTATTTATATTATTTTAATCATGTTAGAATATTTATAATTTTGTAAAACAATTTTCTTTGACCAAATAATTTAAACCGCTTTACAACGTTTTAATAGATCTACAAATTGTGAAGTTTTAGTTTTCATTCACATATTTTTAAATTAAATTATGATTTATAAGTAGAAATAATGCTGTATAAACACTCTCTTGCACACACTTTACACACAAATTTAATAATTTGAAAATTAAAGATTAAATTAGTGATAATAATTTAAAACTGTTACTAAGTGTTCAATAAAGTTATATTGTATTTTCCTACACTTTCAACATTAAAATGAGCCATTTTCTTTGATTTTTATATGTACAACAAATTCTCTAAAACAGTTAAATTAAAACCATTTCATGAGTTTGAATAATTTTTACATAAATATAAATTTTTATATAAGTGAGAAATTACAGTATCTAATATTTTAATATTTTTCTAAATAAAAAATATTTGAATAAATATTTGAATGTCAAAAATCTTAACATGTTAAAATCTTTTCATCACTATGGTAACATGTTACTTTATATTTATTAATTAAATTTCTGTGCATTATGCATCAACTATTAAATTTTTTAAAAAGTTGTATGTTTCACCAAGTTGTAATCTAAAAACACTTCTTAATTATTGACAATAAAGTTGTGTTGGAAACTTTAATAATTTTTTTGGGTCAAGTTACAGTTAAGCAGCCTAAAATAATTTCATCCTTTCACTTGTTGCGCTCTTTGTAGAGAGTTGCTCTCCCAGTGGAGACTTTAAAAACATAAGGAATATATATTAGCTTTAGTACATACATCAACTATCTTGCTTCAAGAAAGTACTGCTACATCAGTTGAGGGTTTGCATAGAGCAACAACCTTTTTCCTTTTATTATTTCAATTAATATTCATAATATTTAAAAAGCCTTCGTTCATAAGAGAGCAACAAACAAAAAAGTAAAATTATAAGTCAATAATTAAGATTACTCTTGTTTAGACCTTCCTAATTAAATTCCTGACAGTCTAAGTCGACCCATAAATAAAATCTTAGTGTTAAACAATATGAGTGTATTTTGAAAAAACTACATATTGATAATATCTAAATTAAACTAATTATAAATGTAAGCTTTATCTTTATTTTCACACATCTTTAGTTTCACTTCATTGTAAAAACAATTGTTATCTATAATAGCTGTTCCACATGATTTTTTATTATTATTATTTTTCAACATTTTCTTATAAGAATAAGATGATGGTATAGAGCTTAAAAAAATAGGGTCTTTAAACTTGAGAACTTTAGAAGTTAAGTGAATCTAAATTTTTTGCATTTTTTGTGTTTGAATAACTGATGATTTTTTGACAAAATGCCTCATCTTTAAGTATAGAAAATTTGCTGTGAAATGGCATGAAAATAAAATTTAAAAGATTAAAATAAATGATACGCAAAGGGTGAAAAGCATTACAGTTGACTAATCAATATCTCAGACTTTGTTCATCTTGAACTTTATTTCCTGTCCCTCGCACACTCTTTTTAGCCAAAATACTCCCAATATCTCTGACTTTTTTCCAGGTCCCCTGAGGGTTTGAGGTATCTAGAGTCAAGTGCATATTATAATTTCTATATGCAAATCCAAAGTACTAAATCTTCAAGAAAACAAATAAACCCTTGTTTTGAATTATGAAAAGGTTTTAATCTCAAACTCAAGGACTCTTTCAAAAATTACTTTTTTATACTAATCAACCCTTATAGTTTTTTAATGCTGAGAACTAAAGATTATGTATGAATGTTAAAAAGTTTATATTTCATTAGATTCCCCTTTTTTTAAAGTATGTATGGAAAGTTTCAAACAAATTAGATGTGTTTTGGTGATAAGGAAATCTTTCAAAAACTACTTTTGGAAAAGCGTGTCCACTACAAGTTTTTATATCAATACTGGTCTCAAGATATATGTAAAACCATATAAAATTTACTTAATCTCAAAAAAGAAATAAGAGAGTTCGAAATTATGTGCTTTTTGTCAAATGTTTTTTATTGCGCTCTAGAATCTTTACCTTCAAATACACTTGATTTTTTATTTTTTGACTATTTTTCTGTTCAATTTTTTCTTCAATTAATATATAAATTAATTTTTTTTTTTTTTTTTTTTTTTTATTTGACTTTTTGTTTTCAAAAGACCTTAAAATTTTGCTATTTTATGAAGTCATTAAATTTGCTATTTACCCATTTAGCAGTTTTATTAAGCTATAGTCATTTGATAATTTTTTCCATCGAGTTATCAAGAAAATAATTAGCATTAGTAATTTTTATCATTGCATTTGAAAAAAAAGTGATCTTCTTGTGTTGAATATCCAGTTTCATCGATTAATTACTGCACTAGAATAAACTTTGCATCATTGTCTGCAAATATTTCATATTTTCTACTGCTACACTTGGTTTTTATTTAAATTATGACTTGAATTTTGTATTAAAATATAAAACATCTACATATGTTGTAAAGGATTAGGGATAATAGTTTACAAAAAGCTTTTTAAATTTTCTTGCATTAATTTAAAAAAGATTTGTAATATAAGAAATAGTACTATGTGTTAGCCAGTCAAATTTGGCAGTCAGTTTTAGCTATTTTTCTATTGGCTGGTCAATTGGTAAATTTTTTTTCAAGTGTTTTAATTTTTCTTATTTATAATTTACTGAATTTAGTAAATAATAAAGTACTTTATGCTATAAACTATTACTAAATATTTATGCTATAATATATATATATATATATATATATATATATATATATATATATATATATATATATATATATATATATATATTTTGAGCTACCTGTAAGCTGTTTGGGGTGTTAATATGTTTTTAAAAAAAAGGATTCTGTTGTTTTTAATTCTTTGTTTATTATCTACAGTGGTTGTTGTTTTATTTCTTATTATCTTGTTTTTAAATTTTGTGCAAATTCCTTTGTTTGAATAAATATCTAGATAGAGTTATTTGTGTTCCAAACATTAATAACGTCTAGAAAGAATTATACAGATTGCTATTAATTATCATTAGAGCATTATTTATCGATCTTATTTCAAAAACCAGATTGTTGAACTTTAAACTGGATTTTATTGAATAATGGAGTGAATAGCAAGTAGTATATTTGTTTTATGAGGAGCTAGTGTTCTTTAAACAAATAGTTTGTTTAAAGAAATTTAAATTTGTATACTAATATTAATAATGCTGTTTGTACAAATAGTAATATTGGGTATCCAGCTTTATTTAACTTAGATATACAAAGTTATATGAATGTTGTTGGTTCTTAGTAAAGTTCATAATAATGTTTTAGTTTTTAAAAATCTAGAAACTCTGAGTACAGATGCTGAAAAATAATTTGCTTAAAGCTGTTGTTTAGTTTCCTTTTTTCTTATTTTTACTTTCAAGTTGTATATGTTAATGTTGTGTGTAGTTGTTTAATGTGAAGTAATACAGTAGTTTCATAATAGTAAAGTTAGCCATTTCTAGTTTGTTTGAAAAATTGCTATATACCTAAAAATGACCATTAAGCATAGTTGTTTAAGAAACAAGTTAAACCCAAAAATATTTTTTTACATTTGCGTTTAAAATGTCAAGATACAAAATGTGTTAACGTTATATAGTTCAAATTATAAGTTTTGCAGCTTTATCTCTTGAATTTTATTTATAAACTTCAAACAAATGCTGCTATATTAATTCTAAGCTCTCAGAAGGTTGATTTGCTTCTTCAAGAATAAACTTCGTAGCTATAGATACATAATTTATAGAATAAATTTTTTACTTACAATTACTTTTACTCAATATTTCTAAAGATATAAATATTAATGTTTATTACTTTATTTACTGTTATTTTTAAATCTATTACTAAAGTTCAAATCTGATCTAAATTTAGAAATAGCAAAACTAACCTAACAAAAGCTCTAATTTTTATTTTTATTGTAAGAGTTTTTTAGAGGGTTGACTTTCTAATTCTGAAAAACAATTCTTTTTTCAGCCTGAAATGATTGGTCATTACCTTGGTGAATTTTCAATGACATACAAACCAGTTCGCCATGGTCGACCAGGTATTGGTGCCACACATTCGTCAAGATTTATTCCACTTAAATAAATTTAAATGAATAAAGTTCTTCACACAATGATTGTTTTTTTTTTTTTTTTGTGTGTTTGTTTGTGTGTGTAAAGTATGCTTTTTTACGTGAATAAGTGAGGAGCCTTATCTAAAATAGTCACAAATAAAAATTTTGAGTTAATTCCATTTTCACATTTTACTGAGATCTATCATTTATTTAAATATTAGACTAATACGTTTTTTTATTTTTGTTGATAAAAAATAGGAATTGGAAATATCAACTTCTGTTGATGCGCAGTAGACACCAGTAATTTTTAACTTTTTTTCGAAATTGCAATTACTTCAAGCTGGAGTACCTTCTTTAGACCATAAAAACATTATGGGCAAAATATAAAAGCTTCAAGTATTTCCGATTCATCTTATTTGGTCTTATATTTATCATATATTATCATTAAAAAGTAAAAAAAAAAAAAGAGGTCACAATAAATATTTGAAACGTTAACGCACGAAAACTTTTATAAATGTATTCTTTATAAGGATAAGTTGTATAAATAATTTTAACTTAAATTTTTAAGGTTGTTTTTAGGGTATTGGAAAAATAACTAAAACAATAAGCGGTTTTTTAATAATCATTAGCCATTAACTGAAAAACGGATTTAAACATAAACAACAGTGTTATGTTGTTGCAGCACTTTTTATTAGGATTTACTCTAATATACAAAAGCAAAAGAAGTATTTGTACGGGTGGTGACTCCCCCCCCCCCCCACTCACCCCAAAAAAAAAAGATTTTATTATGCCCCTTTTGACTACTACTAAATATATTATACTTTTACTGCTGAACCAAACTAATAATAATAAACGAACATATTACTAAATAGATTAATTTAAAGAAATGATAACAAATTACAATGTATAATCTTTCTTTGTTCTAAAATATTTTCGTATCTTTTGACTTTGGCATTTAGCTAGAATATAAGCATTTCTTTTCTTGAGGTTAATAAATTTTCCGCTAGCATGATTCGGTATTTGAATATGATCCCTGATTCGGTATCATATTCAAAAGCTCCTCATTTGATATATCTTCCACACAAGGGGGCTCAAAACAGTCTATATCATACAGATTTATTAATTTTGACCAGTTTTTATATCTACAATCAATAATTGGAATGGCATTAACCCTAATACCATCTTTTAATCCATTTTTAGGATCCTTAATTAGAGTTTTTCTTGTTTCCAAAATCTTAACAACAGCAATTGTTCTATAAACCTGTTCTTCAGAATAAAGTAGAGCAGCAATAAAATTTTCAGGTTGGAGACAAGAGTTTCTATAAATTATGGGCAATGTAATATTTTGAACTTCAGTATCCAACCTCAAAATCCGCTGAATAAATTGGAAAATAAGTTTAGGACCCTCTGTGAAACTCTTAGACTTTTTAATATTAAACCACATAGGAGTATATACTGTTTGAATATATTCAACAAAGATTTTGAGCTCTCTACTAGGATTGATTGTTCTTGTGTATAGTGCCAAGATCCGTACTGCTGTTGTCAGCCACCTTGCATGACAAATAGGGCCTAAAAATATAATCTTTTATATATAAAAATTAATTAATAGTATAATTTAATAGTAAATTGTATATTAATAAATATATATTTACATAAACTTCAAACAAACAAAATAAAAGGAAAAATATTAGGAACAAATGATTTACAAAACAACACACCTATTTTTTTTCTCAGATACTTATTGTCTGAAAACCCTCTAGAAATTCCAATACTATATTCCAGTAGCATTCTCTGGTCAGCAGAGAGGTCTTTAATGACACACAGAGGAGAATATTCAATATCTGTCTCAACTTGTATGAAGTCAACAGTTAAATTTAAATGAATTGGATTTGTCAAAGATTTTCCAACCGGTCCTTTAAAATATTATTATTATTATTATTTGATCAAGTATATTAATATTAATAGTTATAACTTTTTACTAAAAAAAATAATTTATATTTATGCTTATCAGAATAAAGTAAAGCAGCAATAAAACTCTTAAGTAAAAAATAGAACTTCTATAAATTTTAATAATGTTGCTAAATAATAATCGGGTAATCTAAATAATAATATTATCACCAAGAATGTAAAATAGTATTATTATTTAGATTACCCGAATAATTATTTGAGCTATTAGAAGAACCATCAAGTTTAGAAATTAAATGACGCAATGGTAACTCGTTAACATGTAGAAGACAGCCAATTAGATGAATTCTTCTTTTCAATATTCTTTCAAGACAAGCAACTAAACCATTATCTTTACCTAAAATGATATAGTAATATGAAAATATATAACTCAAATAAAGATTTATGTGTTATCTTTTTTTATTTTTCAGACAGGCATTTTTGAAGAAAAAATATACCTGTATTAACACTTGTATTTTCCAAAATTATTGCCTGGATACTTTTATCACTCTTAAACTCCTTGAGAACATTACAGGTAAATTCAGCAAGATCTTTTCCTTTACCTTTTTCTTTAGGTACATCTATGTGCTTTAGATATTGACCTTGCAACTCGCCTTATTCAAATTAAAACATTTTTATTGGTAAAAAAATAAATAAAAAAAATAAAAAAATACAGAGACAAAAGAGATAACATTGGGCTTTACCTGATTCAATTGTGAATGTCAAGTGGTCTACAGTGCTAGTAGATTTACAAAGATTTGTTTCACCGTCAATATCTCTCTGTTCATAAACCAATGAGTTTTTATTACGTTTGCTATCCAAACCAATTGCCTTTATATTTGAAACTTTAGATTGCTCAAAACTAGCATTAAAGCATACTCGTTCTTTCTCTTTTTTTATTTTACTTGGATCAATTACATCATTTAGATGTAGATAACCAATATCTTGAAGTAGAGCATTAGCTACAGCGCCAGCTGCTTCATCTGATATTCCATATCTAATTACCTCTAAAGCAAATTTGGGATAGTGGGTAGTGTTATAGTTCTTTGATCTAGTCTGATTTAATGATGAAATTGAAGTTTCACTCTGTAATTATAGAAAAAAATACAACAAAACTTCTAGAAATTAAAAATCATAACAATGAAAGTGTTACATTTAATTGTATTAACATTTAAGATGCTCTAATTAACTTTAGAGCATTATATTTAAAAGAATTAAGAAATTTAAGAATATATATAGTTTTTATCATACAATCAAAGTTTACAGGTCACAATTTATTACCTGATCTGAATCCATGATTGTGTCAAACTCTTTAATATAAATTTCTTCATCAGAAGCTTTTGTTTGCTTTGTTTTTCTTGAAGTAGGTGATAAAACAGAGTTATCAATACCTCCTATTTGAAACTTTTATACTCTTTTTTCTTAGACTTTTTAATATTAAACCACAGTTAAACAAGAGTATAAATTATAGATTGAAAAGGTTCAATCTATAATTTATACTCTACTTTTTGGTTTGTTTACATTTCTTTAAGGCCGGATGTCATAATAAACAGGGTGTCACCTCAAAACAAACTTAAAAAAATGTATAAAACTATTTTTAAAAAACACAGTTGAATAACTGGAAAATGTATTTTTTATAATTATTGAATCAATTATGCACAAAAAATATTTTTTTTAGTTTTTTTAGTTTGCCTTTCAAAACAGTCCTTTCTAGTTCTTTCAGTTTATCTAGCAGAGTGAACACCCCGATATATCCAATAAAAATGGCGATTTATAAGAAATCTTTTAAGTTGGAATTTTAATGCTTATTTTTAAAATAAGATAGCTTCTACTCAACTTTAAAAGCTACTTTTTTCGCCAAAATTCCTTTTTTTTAATAAGGTAATTACTCCAGCTTGAAGTGATAAATTTTCAGAAACTGCTGGTGTCTAATGCGCAGTTGTAAGTTGTACAATTTTTCGGACCTTATGCGTTTGGCAAATAAGCTCCTCAAATATTATTTTCTGCTAAGATGACACTTAAGGCCGTTTTCTACAAGACGAAATATTCGCGCAAAGTAAATTTTTTCGCTATGACGAAACGCTATTTTGATTTCCACTTATTTTTTTTCGTTGTCAGAAATAAAAGCGACAGCAATAAGTTTAGGCTGTATGTTAAATAAAAGCAGTTATTACTTTTTTAGCATATATTCTACTTTAAAGCATGTGCAAATTTTTTTCCATGCATTAATATTAACATTTCTGCCATTATATGTAAGATTTGATATAATCATTTTTTTTACAAGATTTTTTTTACAAGAAAGTATAAGAAAATAAATGCTTATCTCTAATATAAACATTTCTATTAAGAACTGTTACTGCAAGAACGAAGAGCAGGTTTAACTCTAGTATTTTTTAGAAAAAGGTTTATCTTCGTTTGGCCACTTAGAGATGAACATTCTTATCAAGTGTAACTTTCGTAATTGACTGAAAATTTATATTTGTAAATTCTCGATTTAGTTTTATATATAAGTCTGTTCATTTTTTTAATGTAAGTCTTGCCCTTTGTTTGATAAATTTACTCATGCTTGCCAATTTTCAGAGTAATTTCATATAAAATTAATAAGAACGCCATGTTAAGAATTTTGTTTTTTGTTACATTAAAAACAACATTTTTAATGTTGACATCACGTGATATAATATTCAAAACTTGATTGGTTTTCGCTTATGGCGATTCGCAAAAAGTCGACTTTTTTTTTCGCTGTAGCGAAAAAAAATCAGTATAATTGTGGAAAACGGCCTTTAATTAACGGCCTTTAAACTTTAATTAACGGCCTTTAGTAAGATTTTTCTAAACGAGCTTTAAAATCTCAAAAATAGCTTTGAAGGACTAAGTAGAAATTTAACACTAATAGTACGTTGTATTAATTGAAAACACCTAGATCTGGAAAAAAATCATACAAAGTTAGTCTTCTGCCCATAAATAAATTAGGATGACAGGAATGACGAAAAAAAAGCCCGTCTTTATGAGAACAGGATATACCATTTTGAGCTTATTTTTCAATTTAAAATTTGGGCAACATTTTTATATTGTCAAAATTATTAGTTATATCAAGGACGTTTTAATACTCAACGTTT